ATCATTATTTACCATTATGCCAGTCTTTGTGTCATCTTCAAATTTTAGTACCAGTGATTTTATGTTTAATCCCAGATCATTGTTGAAAATGCTGAATTGCATTGGGTGTAGTACCAGTTCCTATAGAACCCCACCAGAAACACCCCATTTAGTGATGTTTCTTTTCCCCAATGACAACTACTTTTAGATCTGTCAGTAGTCAGTTCCTAATCCATTTAACATGTGTTCTATCAATATTGTATAGTGTTAATTTTTTAGTCAGAATGTTATGTAATATTAAATCAAACAGCTTTCAAAAGTCTAAGTCTATTACATTGACATAATTACTTTTTAATCAATCAAACTTGCAATCTCAAAGAATGAAATCAGGTTTGTTTGACAAAAAACTATTTTTTATAAAACCATGCTGACTGGTATTAACTATATACCTCTCCTTTGATTCTTTATCAGTTTAATCCTGTATCATCTTTTCCATTATTTATTCAGGCTAACTGACTTATTTTACAGGGATTGATGTGCATGGCCAGTGCCCCATCGAAGTGGTCTTTCCAGGTCAGGGTTGAGGTACAATGATTAACAGTGCGGCAAAGTTCATTCTGTTGCTACCTGTTCTATGGCTACAGGCTATAACAGATTTCAGTCCCCATTGTTCTAAATCTGGAACATTAAATTAACTTGAAAAAAAAAAACTTTGTGAAAATCAGCCTGGTGGCAGTTTTGAATCTTACAATGAAGGAAACAATTTAATGTCAAGCAAGTGACTACACAATTTCATGGAGGCAACACCCTGATGCATGAACCAACTGGTAAATTGGAAAGAATATGTTGGGGACCCAGTCCTGCTCATTTTACTCACGTGAGCAGTTTCACTGAAATCAGCAGAACTACATGGGAGAGCAGGATTTGTCCCTGACTTTGTAAACTGTCACATTGCATCCAGGCTTGCCATGATCACATTGCGTTCCTCTCAACCTTAGTAGTCATAGATCTGATTCTGTGAGGTGCTGAGCAATCTGAATACCCTGAAAGCTGAAAGGCACTTGTTACTTTGCAGAATCACACCATATCTGAATGCCCATTCTTGCCATAACTTTTAAACCAGATAGTAATCTCAGTCAAACTGATGGGCTACAAATACAAGTGATTTTACTAAGGGTAGATGTTAACAACAACTTCATAGTTTACATATCTCAAAATACGCGGAGGGTCACCTACCACTTTTAAAAAATCATTCAACTATTGTAATCACCTCCTGTACACTTCCTCTGAATGTTCTACACAAGCCTGTCCCTTTTGGCTTTCTCATCAACAGAACTTGTTGACTGCATCACATATTTAAGATGGATGGTTGTACTGAATAGTGTTGGTAGTTTAGCACCCACCTGCATCCTCAAAGGACTTCGGAAGCTTACTGACATTGACATGTGCTATCTCTACTTGAGCAATATCATTGCTAGAGATGGCTTTGCCAATGGAAAATGGAAGTGGAGGTTAAATGTATGAAGGGAGAGTGTTTGGCACTGGGCAGAACAGATAACATCAGCACCTGCAAGAGGTAAGAAGTGATCCAGGAAACCTACCCGCTATTCCCATCAATAGTTCTCCAGCTGTGATGCTATGGCACAATTCTGGGTTAGTGTACCCCAGATTCTATTGCACAGTTCTCTGGGCAGGAACCACACCAGAGAACAACTGGGCTCTCCCTTTTTCATTGGAATTCTTGTCTGTTGTACCTGAATTACAGTGGCTTTTAGGATTGTGCATCCTGTATATTGCTTTGCATTAAGACTTCATGACTCCCGAGTTATGTTTCCAGTCCTGCCACTGACTCATGTGTGGCCTTGGGCTGAGCCTTTGTTTCCCCATTTGTAATATACGCAAAATGTTACATGTCTTTGTAAAGAATTTGAACAGCCTTGGACGACAAGTTCTCTATAAAAGAGTTAAGCTTTGTTATTCTCTTGCCTTCTTCCACAGAAGGGATTTATTGTTTAAGATATAGCTCTATATAGCATTATGGTAGTGCTCAGAAGCCCCAGATGGGACCCCATTGTGCTAGGCGCCGTACAAATACGTAGGAAGATACTGAGAAGCTCTGAGAAGTTTATAGTCCAATTTAAGGCAATACATAATGATTAAGTGGAACAAGTAATAGAAGGGAAGCAAAGGGGGAGACAAACAAGAATATGTTGTTCCATAGCCTAACTTTGCATACAACTTAATAGTCTGAGCCCTGTAACACTGAGAAGGCAGTAATGTTAACTTGGCCACATTGCAGAGTATTTTTTATTAGTCTCCCTTTTTTGTACTGTGATATGAATAAATAAAATACACAAGATGTAGAATATGGCAGAGTTAATGTCATTTCAGGAACCTCTGCCTTTGAGCTTCCAGACAACCATCTTCTTAGTTTCTCAATATTTAGTCACATCTGGTGTCTTCTGGGGGTAGGACAGAAGTCAATGGCTCTTGGTACATGTACAAAGGTTTGCTCCAAAGAATGCAATTGCAGGATTAGGGCCTGGGTTATTTGCAAAAAATCAATTGCTCTCACTGGGATTCTCCATCATTACTGTGAGATTCTACACCATTCGAAAACAGTCAAGAGTTAGGAAATGCAAACTTAAGGGTTTTACACTAACCCTAAGGGGATACTATCAAGTTAAAATTCACATGGGCTCACTTTCCTGTCCATTGATTTCAATGTATATGTTTATGGCAGCAATATTGGGCTCCTTGTTCTTTAAATGCATTTTCTTCCCTGTGTCACTAATGATGCCTTGAATTATTAAAGGACAATTTTAAAAAAATCTTGTTTCTTATGCACTATTTATGCTATCACCTTCTATTATGCGTTTCACTCTGTTTGGGCAATGAAGACAGATGAGTCCATTTCTAATCATTTTGATTTCCTAATTGTCACATTAGCAAGAATGTGGGGTTGAAAAAATGGCTAGGGAACTTTATTCCTTTAAAAATAAATAATTTCTATCAAAACTGAAATTTAGAATACCAAGGCAACAACATCTAGGCCATACTTCACTGGCTTGTTTTTTACTAAACCAACATTCGGGGTCTGAGCTATCTTCACCTACGCACGCTGAACATAGGGGTCCAGAAGCCCCTTTCAGCTGTGCAAGGATGTGGTCATTTAAATGAATAGGGCTGGCACCAAATTCTTTTCTCAGCCTTGTCACTACCTTGAGTATTTTGGATTACTAGTTTTGCGTACTCTGACTTCTGAATGTTCTTTAAATGTGCTCACTTTACACAGATTATTATTCAAAAATTAAGACCTGATTCTGCAAACCCTTAAAATGGGACTTGTTTACATGATTAGGGATTACAGTTATGCAGGAGCAAGCCCTAAAATTGTACCTTTTACTTATAAAAATATACATTAATGTTATGCATTAGCAACATGTATATAGCTGCTTAAAAACACTGTTTTACTTCCCAGTGGTAGTGAATAGACAAAAAGTTTCCTCTGTCCTTAAGTTTCTCCCCTGCTCTATTGATATATGTTGTAGCTATATATAGACACGGTGAATAATCACTGGGCTTTCATCTGCCTTTCAGGCTAAAGAATGGCTAAGAGAACAAGGAAGAAAACAAATGCTAAGAGACAGCTGTAACAATCCTAGTTAAGAAGCTGAAGACAGGGTAATCATTTTTGAAGAGTACTGTGGGCCGGCTGCACAGAATGCTATGACTATTTTGTTATAACCAGAGTCCCCAGGATTTTCAGAATTCAGAGCAGGCTTCAGAAACCAGCTTTGTCTGATTCCTGAAATGGAATGTATGAAACACTGACAGCAATCTCTTACGTGTGTCTCTGCTCACCGCTGGCTTATCCAGTGTTTCTGAAATGGGGAGATAGAACATGTGAGAGTCTGCAAAACTAGAAGACTGTTGGGAGGAAAATGAAGGGGAAGGAGAAATGGAAGGGAAGAGGGTGAGGAAGACGGAAAGCAGAGTGCAGGAGAATGAACAAACAGGGAGGTCTGTTTTAAAACATGCCTCTCTCCACTCCGAGTCCCAGCCCCCAACTGAGAATCACAGAATCCCATTCAGTTTTGGGGATAACCATTATTGCTTTGTGTCTAAAGTAGAGTTCTGGGAATCGGGAGTCTTGGCTTATATTTCCCAGCATGCCAAAGGTCATACAGTGACTTCACTGTTGCAACCTCAGCTTCTTCAGCTGCAGAACCAAACATGCAACACTGAGATTCCGAAACATATTTCAAACCACCTGCTGACATTACAATCATTAAATGTTGCTTATGTGCTAGTTGGCTGGAACTGTGTAACTTTCTTTACATGCACATAACATGTGGGGTTTTCTGAAAATTTATAGTCAGTGGATTCTGCCAGTACATGCAAGTGATGCATAACTGACAACAAATCTATAAAAACACTGCTGCAGAAATGATCCATGAAACACTGGTGAATTTCAGGGACCCTGTTTATAACTGAGGCTCAGAGAGCTTGTATCTCATCTTCAACTGTTTCCATCTGACTAAAAGCTCAACTGTGCACATCTTTGTCCTCTGAGTTCACATTCAGGATGTTGTAATCCCTAGCTGTTTTCAGTGGAATTCAATTAATAATCATTGCAATAACACTACACACCAATTCATTTCCGGAGCTCCAAATAATGGGTTGTGGTTTCTCCCTTCCTGCAACTATAACATTCAGGGTGAAGTCTTTCTGCTGTATTCCCATTTACTTGCTCACAAGTAAGACAAGCAGAGTTTGGCCAACAAATAAATTAATAGGAAAGAGAGCAGGGTAATGAAGATGGATGTATCTCTTCTAAAATATATTTCCTGTAGCTTTACAACAGCCTGAAAGTTTGTGAATGGGATTGGCTAAAGCGTTAATGAGATGATTCGTATTGTAATTGCATTGGATCTGCTTTCTGGTGAGGCTTTATATGCTCTAGTAAATAGGGCATTGGACTGAGAGTTAGGAGTGTGTGTTCTGTTCTGTGTACAGACCTGCTGTAACACCCAGGGAAGTCACTTCTCTTCTTTGTGCCCCAGTCTTCCCCATCTGCAAAATGAAGATAATGATGATAACTTCATTCCATTGTAAATGACATGGAGACCTACAGAAGAAGCATTATAGAACAATTACAAATTATTCCCTGTTTGACAATAATTTAGGCATTATCAGGTCAAACATTAGACCAGCTGCATATCTGTGGATCTATTTCATTTTGCAAGGAAGAATTGCAAAATTATGTGTGTTGAGATGTGATCTTTGTCCAATTCCACTTATTAGTTTTCTTGCTCACTCTCATTTTCTGGAAATCCAGAAGGCCTCCCCAGGGAGCTCCCTGTTGCTCATTCCCAGGTGTTTGATAATAAAAATCTGTTCAGTGGGATAAGAAACCCCTAAGTGCATCCCAGAATCCAGCATTTGGACAGTGCCCAGCATTACATGGACTGTTTTGCTCTCTGACTTACATCTGTTCTATACTAGCTACACCAACATTTGTACTATTATTAAGTCTGCATTTTCAACATGGCTGTCACAAGACCCATGGATCCCATGATTTCATACTGTCATTGCTATTTTTACACATGCTCTGTGGTAACTGAAGATCAGAATTTTCAAAGCTGACAAGTTACACCCTGCACAAAGTCCAGAGTTTAAAAGGGAACAAGACAATTCATTCATTCACTGGAAAATTGAAAGGCAGGATAATATAATGAAAGTGAAATTCACCTACCCAATCTCATTTATTTAAATGGATGTTCCCTCAAGCTGATTATTCACAAAGGAGATTTCAATTACTACCTTTATTTTTTCTAAATAAATCCTACAAAAGCAGAAATCTCTTACAAAATACTATAAATATGAATGAGGAAAGGAAGTGGCTTTCAGATAACACAGTGCCATTATAAAGCACCCATTTAGACAGATATATCACATCTATAATATAAAGACTAAATGGATGAGTATGAGTTCTACAGACGACTCAAATAGACATACCGACGTGCTACACAAGGCCCAGAACCAGCAAAGACTTACACATTTGGCTTTATGCACTGAGTAGTTCTATTGACTTCAACCAAACTACTCACAGTGCAAAATCCTAAACACCTTCCTCGGCCTTTGCAGGAGCAGGACCTAACAGAGTTACCAGAGGTATGCCAATGAGACCCTGCATTACCTCCTAAAGCCCAGAATTATACCTAAACACTACATTATTTGTGAGGTTCCTTTTCTCTGTCTCATTTTTTCTTTCCTCCATTGTGATAGGACATATTTGGCATGACATCTATACTGCTTAAACAATTGTTTCCTTTTGTCTGCACTTCTAACGAAAATTAAATAAAATGAGGCGCTCCCTAGATTTTCAAAGGCAAGGGCCAATGGCATAAAGCATTTCTCTCCCCCCCAGCAGACAGAATGAATTTCTCTCCAAGCAGTTCATGTTTTCCACACGGAAGGCACAAAGAGAACTGGACACATTGACCCAGCTATAAAATAGCTCCCGCCCCTGCGTGCACCTCACTGGACTGCCATGGCCAGTCCCCCCAGTGAAATCATAAAGCTGGGCAGGTGGGAGGTGTTTGCAGGACCGGCAAGCGAGAAGTATTAGCGTCGGCCGTGAGTAGCTTTAAAACCCCTCTCAGAAGGCCAGATTTTGCCGCGTGTTTTAACGAGGAGCTGGGTCTGGGCAGCAGCGCCGGGGGGGTTTCATGCGCTGCCAGCGGTGCCTAGCCCTGCTCGCACTGTGCGTGCCTACAGCTAAGGGAGCCCCGCTGACCCGCCCCCAGCAAACACCGCCACGCAGCCCGCACTGACCCCGCAGCGAACGGGGCTCGGCGCTGGCTGGGGGGCCACTAGGGACCGGCCTGGGGGCGGGGGGAGGTGGCAGCTCCTCCTCTCGCTCTCACTGGTGCTGGAGCAGCGGCAGCTGCCGGCGGTGGGATGAGGAGTCGACAGGGAACTGCTGCTGCTGGACCCGGGGCCGCGCTGGGCGTGGGCAGCCTCCGCATGTGAGCGGGGAGCCGGCGGCCAGCCCCGGAGCCATGTACTCCGGGAACAGCAGCGGCGCCAGCAGCAGCCAAGCGCCCGGCCCGGGGCAGCAGCAGCAGCGGGAGGACCTGCCCCTCTTCAGCCCCAGCACCTACGAGCTCCTGGCGCTGCTCATCGCCACCATCGGCATCCTGGGCTTGTGCAACAACCTGCTGGTGCTGGTGCTGTACTACCGCTTCCAGCGGCTGCGCACCCCCACCAACCTCTTCCTGCTCAACATCAGCCTCAGCGACCTGCTGGTCTCGCTCTGCGGGGGCACCCTCACCTTCGTGTCCTGCCTCCGCAGCCGCTGGGTCTGGGACGCGCCCGGCTGCCTCTGGGACGGGTTCAGCAACAGCCTCTTCGGTAAGGGGGAGGGGAGGAGACCGCACGCCCCCAGCTCCCCCATCACCGCCTCCCACCGCCCTCCACCCCACATTCCCCATCCACCTCACCGCCCTCCACTGTCCATTACCACCCCCGTCACCCCATTCCCCACCTCCACCCCCATTCTCTACCCACCTCACCCCTTATTAAGTATCAATAATGTCCAGAAAGGCAGTTTTAGTGTGAAGTCCTGGCCAAAAAGATGGTTTCCATGAAAAGGGAATAGGGGAAAACCTACAGTCTCTGCTTACTGTGCTTTTAGTATGTAAGATGCTAATGCTTGAAAGTAGAAAGTTTGTTTCCTGAAGTGATTACAACATTTACCAAAAGCAAGCTCAAAGACTGGGACCTTCTGCATGGAAATTGACTTGTGTAGGGTAGTTATTATAGCCTATACCCCTTTTCGGTAACTTTTATTATCAGAAAGAAAACTCTTGACAATTAATCAGGAAAGCTATAAAGGAATCAGAGAAGTGTGCCTCAACATCCCCTCCCTGCTGCCAGAAGGGTCTGAGCAAGCTGTTTAGAAAATATAGAAACATCTTCAAAGAAAGTCCTTGGCTTATTTGAACATTGTGTGTCATCACTCCTAATTTGTAAGGAAAAATAAAACCTTACGGAGAAGGGAAAATTATAACTTTAATGACACACCGCAGGCATCTCTGACCATCCAGACCTCCAAGAAGTCTGAATAGCATGGGGGCCACATCACAATATCAGGAAATTTAGAAGTCAGCTAGGTCTCTGTCTAGGAAGTTATCCAAAACATGGAACATCCAAAACATGTTTTTTCCACTCTCTGTATTAATTCTGAAGACACACCAGTACTCTTGATTTGTCTGATTTATTAAAAAAATAGCATTAGTAACAAAAGTGTAATTTTTAATGCTGCTCTTATCTTGAATGTTCACTTCACCCACATGAGAAACAAGTATTATTATAAAGTACGATTTTCTGTAGTGATAAGTGTTTCTGAAACTACTATTTACATTTTTTAAAAAGACAAAGTAAAATATGAAAGATGTTAAGTAATTTTTAGAGACAGTTTATGGAAGTCTGATAAAACACAGGATGTATTCTATCAGTGCAAGCTGCTGGAAAGATGACAGAATTTTTCTTTGGTGATTTAATAATGCTGCAAAAAGATTACAGTAATTGCTGTAAACAATCATAGAAGTAGTTAGAAAGCCAATAACCATATTTCAAGTTCTTATCAGAAATTCTTTGACACACTTATAAAATATAGAGATATAGGTAGGTGTGTGCACAAAAAAATATGCACCTGCTCTACAGTCTACCTCCAATAAGCAACCCCTTTATAAGTTTTCCAAACTTCCCAATATAATTTTATTTTATCTTCAGCTATAGTTCACCTTTAGTAGACAACCCATTTGGTGGTGGATTAGCTGATCACTTATGACTGATTTCACTAATGCTATTAACAGTGGAAATGCTTGTGCAATGGAGGGATGTTGTGGGTGCAAGATGCAATTAGACTGCAAACTCACTAGAACAGGAACTATTTACCGGTACTTGTTTTGTATGGTGCTTAGCACATTCCCGGGGTCTTAAAAGTAAACCCACTAGTGCTTGCCATGATAGTAGGACAGAACCCTACTAGCATAATGTTATCTACGTCAGTCAGGTATTTCAGACACTTAAAAAAAACCCTATGCATCTACCAGTGTTTGTTTTGCATGTGACCTCATCCAGAGAGTTTACCATTACATTTACTTAAGCAATTTAAAAATTCCATTCAATTTACCATCCTTTTTCTCATATATTGCACTGACTTCCAACAGCTACAACTTTTTACATTTTTGTATTTAAATACATTTCCAAAATATAAAATACACTGTAGAGATGGATGTGAAAAAGCTATAATCAGATCATCATCTTCAAAAAACACCACATATTAAAACCATAAGTATACATTGCCAGGATAAATACACTATTATATATAGTTGAAATCATTTTCATTTCCTTTTTGGAAGTGTTAATGGCTTGTCTTTTTTAATATATCCATTCAATTATGACTGCTAAGTTTTCTGCGCTTTAAAAATACAAAAACAACACACACACACCATTCACACAAATACAACCACACGCCCACATAGAGTTGTTCCAAAAATTAAGAAATACTTTTAAGGCTGCATCTAGAAGCTGGGCCAGTGTTTACACCACAGAATCACTGATGCACATAATTACTTTCCCCTAGAATTTTCTTCCTCCTTGAATTGCCTATTGCATTGCCTGATGGAATCTGATACTTTAATGCATTTTGTTCAACTTCCACATAAAAACAAAATCATTTAACTATATGTATATATAAATAAAACCTGACTATCTTAATCTGAAGGTACTCCAAATTACAGCTAATCTGAATTTTGCACATACTATTATCCGCCCCCCCCCCAATAACTGTAGAAAGAAGACTGTATAATCTAGACACACATGAAAAAGAACAGAATAGCCAGGCTGTATGTTTACAAATACCTGCCACTTTAAAAACAGGTGCATTCCAGACTACCAAAATTATTGAATAGGAAGAGTTTCACTTACACATTGCATGTTAGTGACTTCTAAAGTGGAATTCTGACTTTGTCATGTCCACCATGGCATCTGTCTAAATGTGAATTTAGTGCTCAAAAAGAAGTTGAAAATTGACAGTTCTGAATTTTCTGAAGTTCATGTCCTTTTGTAAATAGACCAGGTGCAGCCTTGCACATTCCATTCTCTCACTATGCCATTGCATAGTGACCTAACAGGGTCATTTCTAGAGTGAACAGGCAGTTCAGTCATCACAGATATTGAATTCTTGCCCTCGCAAGTACCAATTAGTTTTTGTGTTGTTGACACCTGTCCACTGAGAACTTGACTCATTTCACACTGAATGACCAAAAGACATTTAGCTGTGATCACTGTTGTTTGTGCTCACATCTTAAATATAGACCTAGGCATTCCTCCCTGGCAGAATAGAGGCTTATTGCATTAGCTTATCACCTACAAAGGCCAGGTTTCAACTATAGTGATCTCATTATGTCCTCTAGAAGAATTTACTACCATCACAAAACCACCACACAAACTTAGGGCTGACCTACAAATAGGATATTATAGTTAAGCATTTGGGATTGAGTTATATTAACCAAGCAGACTGCAGAACATCAGCCCACTCTATCTATGCCTGCTCTGTGGCTTTCTACTAAGACATAGTTACGTGTAAATCCTCTTTTCTCATTCTTCACCTCTTGTGCTCACAGATTTTCCCATTGTAAACTTGAACGGTCTTCAGTTGAAAGGCCCACATTCTAGGGTGGAGACAATCTTAGATATCAGAGTTATATACTGCACTTATTTCTTCACACACCACTTTTGCACAAGTCAGCTTTGTAGTGCTATAGGCTAAGATTTTCAAAAGTGATGAGTGATTTTTGGATGCCAATTTAAGCCATTTTAAGACAGTGGGTCTGATTTTCTGAAAGTGGGTTCATGGCCATTTCTGAAAACCAGATCCTTTTAAGGATGGGCATCCAAAATCACTAGTTTTCAGTCTTATTTTAAACAAAGTTGTTTTTACAAAACTGCTATTGGTTATACTGTACTTTGACGATAGATATCAAAATGCTTCTGTGTTGAACTAGAGCATATCAGTATTACATGATAGCTATGGCATGTACAAAAAAGACATTGAGACAGCATCTGCATTTTGTATGGCATATTCTAGTTTACCATGTAATTTCTGAGCGGTTATTTCACAAATATAAAGATACTTATTTCTGTTGGGATTTTGGAACAGTGAACTTTTAAGAGTTCCTGTTTAAAAGAGCCTCTCTTTTTGAGAACTGTTTTGACAGATTGCAGGTGTCTTAGCTCCAAAACTTAGTCTTTGTCAGCAAACTCCTCATTCTAAGGTTTTTCAGTCAGGGGAAAAGTAACAGGGCTTGGAACTCAACTCCAGTGAAAGTTGACTGACTCAGGGTCCAATCTGATCCAGGGATATACAGAGCGATTTCTTATGCATTTCCTGCAGTACCCTACTTTTGCATTAATTTTGGTTCATTAGCTGACAAGACCATGTAGCAGTGGCTACTCCCCAGGCAGTAATAGGTTGCTCGGGGCCTGCAGTTCACTCTACCAGGCTCTCAGTCTGCTATTATCTTTGGAACCAGGAAGGGTGGTTATTGGTTTGGAAAATAAAGGAATTTATTTTCCAAACTGGAAGTACTCTGTGTGATAGACTCCCAAAATCTTAAATCATCCGCAGTGTAGGATCTGAAGTCCGATGAAACTTACCTGTATATGTATTCACAATGGGGACTGTGAAAAGAGTGGGCATTTACACCATTACTGTGCCACCATCTGCAGGATTCCCTATACTTAGGGTGGGAAATAATATGGTAAATTGAATTACTACTTTTGAATTTTTAAGTGACTTTTACATTACCTTTCCCAGATTGTAGCCCCCATCTAGTCCATTAAATCGTGTGGAGCCACAGTGGTTCCAATATGATGGGAAGAGATAGGTACTCCAATTAATAGGTGTATTTCAAGCTATAAGGAGGTCTCCATTCTGATGGCTTTGTAGGAGCTCTGTACTTGTCCTGGTGAGCTCCTCTGCCTATGAGAATATGAACCTCCTTCCCCTCCTCCCAACCTATGAGAGCCAATTTGGTAGCAGCTGGCATCTTAATTATGTTTAGTCACGAGCTATATTGCTGAATCTATCTGGAAGATTTCCTGTCTAGCATACATTTATCTATCCATGTGCTAGAGAGGATACCTGATAGCTAAAACACAAACCTTTTTAAATAGACTCAGTTCCCATTAACTAAAGCAGGAATTTTGCCTAAGGACCACAGAATCAGAGAATTAAACCATTAGATGTGCATCTGGTAGCTTGTCATGAATCTAAAAAATCTATAGCTAGTAGTGACCACCCGCAGACAAATTTGCAACTGCATATCAGGCTGTTTTGAATC